GGGGGGGAAGGGGGCAGGGGGAGGTAGAATCATGGGGTACTTAGAAGCCAAAGGGCAAAGAAAATAATAAACTGTGAATCCAGGAAATATTTTAAAGCCCAGTAACCTTGTCTCTGAAACTAGACATCCAGTCAGTATCACATGGGTTTCAATTCAGTTTTTGTTACAGCAGGGTACCTATGCTAAACATGGAAATTCAAAGCTCTGTGGCAGGGCTACTCAACACGCAGCCCATGGGTGGGAGCCAAACAAAAAGTTAGTCAATATAACGGTCTTCTGTTGAAATGCCTTTTAGTAGTTAAATTCCTGAACTGTCATTGCTCATTAAAAGTGCTGTCAGATGGGTGGAAATTGAGTAAATATTGCATTGTATTAATATCAGCAGAACTGACTTCCATGGGGCCTGTGTTTGTGTAATCTTGCCTTAATCTTTGAACTCACGCTCTCCCATTAGTGTGAAAGAAGCTATTTGCATGTATATGCAACCACAGTTAAGTTGCGGCCCTGGGCATGCGCTGTGAGTATCATCCTGGTGTGTCTCTTTGAAGTACCCCTTCACCCCCGAGCCCCCTTTGCTGCCTCTCTCTCATAGAGGCAGCAAGGGAGGGGGTAGGGAAATTGGATAGTTGACTAATCTTTAACATCACTAGTTAAAATGTCTGCTGTGAAGAAAAATAACCTAAAATATGTAACATTGTTGTTTTAGTTAAATTAAAAAATTAAAAAAAATGTAACTGTCTGTCTGGTGGTGTTCTCCTCCTAATTTAGCATGGGAAGAAAATCCTCCAAGTATTAATGATTAACCTGTTGAACTGGAAATAGTTCACTTCCCAACGACTTCATAAATATTTGCTTCAATTACCTTTGTTAATGGATAACCATTGGTTCATTTTTTGATATAGCTGTAAAACTAATCTGGAAAATTGTCAAAATAAATCACTGTTTAAAAATGTATAAGGTGTATCTTCTAAAAAAACCTACATCTAGCTATCTCTGAGTTGGGAAGAATATGTGTTAAGGCTGCTTTTCTCAAACTGTGGGTCCCAACCCCGGGGGATCACGAGCAACTTAGAGGGATGTCGCAGAATCACAAAGTTTGAGAACCCCTGTGTTAAGGTTATAACAACCAACAAGAATGCACTTTTACATAGAAACCCATTATGAAATCAAGTCTTCCTGACTAGTGATTTAAATCAACAGATATACCCTGGGATGGGGAATCAAGTTAGGAACAAGTTTATGAAGCATCTGCCACAATCCATTTCCATGTGCAGATTGCAGACCACAATGGGGACTGGAGCAGGAGGGAGAGACAAAATGAAGGGCCATTATCTGCTCCTTAGAGCAGTGTGTGCTCAGGGAGGGAATGGTTCTGAGTGACCCATGGACTACAGACAGACAGACAGACAGACCCCACATACAGGCAGTAAGGAGTGGCTGCACCACTGCTCTCCTCATTCCAGTTACTGCACTGGTCCCCAATCCCCCATCCCGGAGCCAGATGCTCCAGATCCACCCCCCTCTCTCTTACCCCCAATGTCTCCTGTCACCCAAGTGCCCCTCCCTGGCAGCTTGTTCCCCAACTCCTCATCTCACAAGCAGCTGTGCCCTAGACGCTGCTTGCACTCTTCACCAGCAATTGTGCTGCAACACCCATGGCCAAGGCCAGGGAGCCCCCTGCCCAGCAGCTGAACCCCAGCCCCACTGAATGCCAG